ATGCCCTCTAAAAAAAAAAAAAAACACTTATTTCATAATAGGAAGGATTTAAAAAATGAAACATTGCTCAATGGAGTTAACCTTTTAGGCAACACAGTCAAAATGGCATTCCTTTAGATCCCTGATCCTAAAAGTCAACTTCACAGAATAAAAAGTTCAAAACTAAAAGCTACTGTCAACTGAGAGAGTATTCAGCATTTATACTCACAAACCTAGAACTAGGGGTGAGATGGGGGTGAAAAAGTATGAGAAATAACAGTGTTTGTCCTCAAAAAAAATTCTCATCTGCAACTTACTTCTATGTAAAATAACTATTTTTTTTCTGATCAAACAAATCTTCCTAACGAACTTATGCGATTTTAAATAATGGCATTAAAGAATTTAAATTAAACTTCTTCACAGCCTCACCTTTTACTCTATGTATACATGTATCCAATATATACCATCAGCAAGCTGGAGTGTCTCCTTTTTATTTTTCATCTGTTCCTATCCCCTACAACATATCTCCCGTCTCCTTCACAGCATCAGCTGCCTAGAGCTCTACCCATCCATTAAAATTTCTAAAATATGGCCAAAAAAACTACTAGAAGCAAAAAGAATGAGCCAAAGAGATGAAGGGAAGGCAGTAGAACCACCTAATTTTCAACTGTTTGACTATTTTTAATAGGCATGTCCTGCTTTGATAATGTAAAAATTAAATTATAAGCTATACATGAATTTTTTTGCAAGTTTTCTATAAACCTAAAATCTCAAAATAAAAGTAAAAATTATTAGTTATTATATGCTCAAACACTAACCATAAATCAACTCAACTGAAGAGAATTTTGTTTCCAAGCTTTGGAATTTCCAACCCAAAGGAGTAGCAGATTAACGTCCCATCTGTACATAAAAGGTTGCAGCCAACAGCTCATTACATTTTTACACAACTGTTAAACATGATTAGTCATATTCCACCCTGGTGGTATCAGATCTGAAGCAGGTTAAAAAACACTGACAGCAGTTTCCAAACTCTCCAATAACAAGCAAATCAACAAGGGTTAACATTATTTCTTTAGGTACCCAGAGGTAGAAGTAAAAACAAAAAACAGAAATGGATTTTTACATACCTCCAGAAACGAAGTACAACCAAACTTCTATGGACTAAGGAATCCCTACTTTTGTTAGTACATTTAACATGACTAACAACAATGTAGGAGTTGTTTTATGACTAGGTCTGTTACTCCCTCTCTTCTGACACCAAAATGCAGTGGTGTAGTCTTTTTCTATATATATATTATACACAGTACTAAGAGTACTATAACTTCATTCAGGTTCTCAGACCCGATTCCTATGTGTATACGTGGGAGGGGGTCTTTCCACACATACTAACACCAAGCAATTCTGGAACACCATTAACATGAGAACACAACTCAGAATGAAATCAGTCGAGGTAAAAACTAGACGGGGAGAAGGCCTTTTATTGCTCACAAGAATCCTGGCTCCATTCATGCACTCGCCCATTTCTCTGCCATTCTTGCCCCGACCCCTCCCCGTCTCTCCTGTTTTTCGCTGGGAGACCAAAACCGGCTCCCCGTCCAGGTGCCCACTTGCCTCTCCCCTTGCCGAGATAAACTAAGGAGAGAACGCTCCTCTCCACAACTCCCATTCCCCTGACCAACTTATACTATGATGGAGAATTTTTGTGCCCTTTTATTCCCCTCACCTGACCCACTCACCCCACCCATTCCCACCCCCATGGTAACCACCAGTCACTTCTCAGAGTCTACTGCTGGTAACCACCAGTCACTTCTCAGAGTCTACTGCTGTTTTGTTCACTTTGTTGTGCTTTGTTTTTATATTCCACAAATAAGTGAAATAATATGGTGTATATCTTTGATACAGCTCCAATTCTTTAAAAATTGCTAATTAAAAGACAATTAGGCATTTTTCCTTCTCTTTATTCATGATAACTGAATAGGACCAGCTCATGAAGAATTCCAGCTATGGTGTGGAATACAAGGGGGAAAGGATCACCACTTTGCAACCCTTAACCTGATCTGGCTGCATTGTCAGTAAATGGAAATTACTAATGATGACTGGATGAACAATTGATAAAGAACTTAGAACTGAGCTCAGCATCACTAAAAGTGAAGCACTCCCTTCCTCAAAAGTGGGACAATCAGACATACTTCCCAATTTATGCAACATGATTCTGCAGTAAACTTAATTGCAGGCCACTAGATATGAGAAAAAGGAAGAGATGCAGAGTTATCAAACAAATTTGTGGATTTGGTCTGCATCCTCAGACACATAAAGAGATACTAAAATCTGTGGAGATCTGTGTAAGGACAGGGTATTAGATGAAATGGCAGTTACTGTTAGTTTAGTTAGGTGTGAGAGGAATGGTTTTTATGGAAAAAACAAGGCCCATTCAAGATGAAAACCTTACTATGTGGGGTTTGCTTTAAAATATTTCAGGAAAAGAACAAGGAGACAGATATAGCAATGTGGTGAAGAGCTTGCTAACTGTAGAATCTGGATAATGGGCAGATGGGGATTAACTGTATTTATACTTTTTAAAAGTAATATTAAATGACTTTGGCATGGAAAGCTTTTTTTTTTGGGCAACCCAGTCTAATTGTGAAACTTATTTAAAAAGCAAGAAAACTAATCTCTTCCATTCATACTGAGAGACAAGCAAAGACAACTACCATATGATTTCACTTATTTGTGGAATATAAAAACAAAGCAAAACAGAAGGAACAGAACAGCATTAGACTCAGACACAGAGAAGTGACTAGTGGTTACCAAGGGGAAGGGGAGTGGGGGGCGGGGGGAACTGCTGAACCACTGTGATGTACATTTGATTAAAAAAAAAGACACACAAAAAAAACCAAACTTAATAACCACAGCTCACAAACTCTTGCTATGATTTTCCAACTGTCATTATCTTAAAATTTCAGATATTACTACTTTGGTAGACACCAATTATCTGTTGCCATCAGTATCCAGATTGCAGATGTTCCTTTTTTTAAAAAACTGCCTGGGATTAACTTCAAAATAAAATCCATTGGGGAAGAGGTAGACAATATAAGAATGATAATAGAAGTAAAAACAAAAAACAAATATCAGCAATGCTGATAATGGTTGAAGCTGAATAATGGGTAACATGAAAATTCTTTGTAATAGTCTATACCTTTAGTGCTTGAAAAAATACATACATAATAAAGCTAAAAACCACCTGGTTAATGAGACGTTTCTTCTCCCAGTACATTTAACATGTGGCTATTTCAATACTCTGCTACATGCTTTTGTAGCCACATTTAACAACATAATCTGAAGATATTTAGCAGTACTGCTTACCTTGTAAAAATCAAGTTACATATTAAGAACCTACAGTAATGGAGGAAGAGCACACTAATGGTGACCCAGTTAACATAATGGCTATGCCAAAAACCAACTATACAAACTCTTCAAATTTCGTTCATATTAAGGACATTGGAACCAGGGAGAATCTTTCTTCTAAAACTCAAAAGTAATCTATGGTTTCTTAATTTTTATGGGCTGAACTCCATCATCCACTTCACTCCCTATTCACATGTTTAAGTCCAAAATCCCCAGGAACCTTGAATGCAACTGCATTTTGAGAATGTCTTTAAAGATAATTAAGGTAAAATGAGCTTTTAGGGTGGGCCCATAATCCAGTATGACTGGGGTCCTTGTAGGAGATTAGTAGAGAGGGAAGACTCCATGAAGACATAAGACAGACATCTGCACGCTAAGAAGAGAGGTCTCAGAAGGAGTTAATCCTCACTGACACCTTGATCTCAGACTAATATTCTCTAGAATTGTGAGAAATACATTTCTACTATTTAAGCCACCCAGTCTCTACTTTGTTATGGCAACCCTAGTAAACTAACACAATCATTTTCTGGATAATGAAAACAAAAAGTTAAATAATCCAAACCAGGGGTTGGCCCAGGAACCAGAAGGGTTTTTTATTCTTAAAGAGATGTAGAGTGGATTAAAGATGGCAGCGTGAAAGGTGGGACAGGATTCCTCCTAAAATCGCATACAATACAAAAATAATTAATACAACTAATCCTGAGAGAGCAACAGGAAAGAGGGCTGCGCCAGACTGCATACACCTGGAGAAAAGAGCAGACCTCACGGAACAGGGTAACGTACCAAAGCAGTGGCCCGGCGGGACCCAAGCCCTTCCCCCACCCCAGCTCAAGGTGGGAGGAGGAGAAACGGAGCAGGGACAGAGTGGGAGGCCTGGGAATGCTGAATACCTAACTCCGGAGATCTGCTCTGGGAGCACAAACCTACATTTCACGGTGCTTGCATGATACTCTCATGATTAC